GGTTTAGGGTTTAGGGTTTAGGGTCTAGGGTCTAGGGTCTGGGTCTAGGGTCTAGGGTCTAGAGTCTAGGGTTTAGGGTGCTGTAGGGTTTAGGGTTTAGGGTTTAGAAAAAAGGGCTACTTGAGTTGAAAAAGCTCCGGAATCTTGGCAGGATGCATCGGCGTGGTGGCGGGATGGCCTGATGCGCCTTGCTTAGGGTTTAGGGTTTAGGGTTTAGGGTTTAGGGTTTAGGGTTTAGGGTTTAGGGTTTAGGGTTTAGGGTTTAGGGTCTAGGTAGGATAAGGGGGGACCCTTGTCAGGAAACCCTTCTGAACCCTCTTCTGGCTCTCTTTGAGGGTCTATAGCCCGAAGGGTCCCCCTAATCCTATCCCCTATGCTTTGCAAAACCATGAAGCCACAACCTACCTTAGGGAAGCTTACTTGGAGGTGCAGGGTACTTAGTAACCCATTATAACTGTAGTTCTAACCCACATATAAGCCCCTTAAGTACCCTGCTGATGTAGAAGAGCACACGAATCTGTTTTCAACCATGATATTAAGTACCCCCAATAGGGTGATAATTGGGTTACAAGCATAGTTCTTGTTGGGTTACTAAGTACCGTGAACCTCCAACTAGGGAGCCCCTAAACCCTAAGCCCTAAACCCTAAACCCTGAACCCCAAAAGCCCCCGAAAGCCCCCGGAAAGCCCGGCTTACTTTAAGAGCCCCGAGGTATGCGTCACTGGGGAGCGGCCATCTGCTCTGGGACTGCCGCTCCTTTGGAAACTAGGGTCTAGGCTAGGCTTTAGGGTTTAGGGTTTAAAGGGCCTAGGGTTTAGGGTTTAGGGTTTCCCCCGTCAACGGACCCAAAATATGCCCACCCTTCATTCTGAAGCTTGTGAACGGTCAACGAGCACTGGTGCTCAGCTAATAAGGCAACGGTTCAAAAACCCAAGTCCTCAAGACGCATGCAGTCTGTCTTAGGCATGGAGTTCTGTGCGATGTTAATGTGTATAGTTTAGGGCACATCAGGGCGCTGGGGTTGATACGGGGAACGCTTCAAGAAAGGTTTAAGGGCTTCAGATTCTTTAGGGCAAGAAGTGTCCATCTTTCAGTGTGCTGAAGGGCCTCAGCCCACACTTCAAAAGTGCTTAGGGTTTAGGGTGGGGCTTCAGAGGGAAGCCCCAAACCCCAAACCCCAAACCCCAAACCCCAAACCCCAAACCCCAAACCCTAAACCCTAAACCCTAAACCCTAAACCCTAAACCCTAAACCCTAAACCCTAAACCCTAAACCAGTCCCAGGTGAGATACTGGATCGGCTGCGCGCAGAGGGCGTTGCTGCTCGGCCGGGAAGGCTTTCAGCCCCAAGCCTGATATCGTGAAACCCCAAAACAGCCCGGGCCTGAGCTGTAGAATCTTTAAAGGGGGTTGAGGGTTTAGGGTCTATAGGGTTTATGCTTTAGGGCTTGGGGTTTGGGGTTTAGGGTTCGGTTTAGCTGCAAGTATCTTGCACCTTCTTAACCTGCACAAGCAAGATTTATGACTCTACGGCTTTGTGGGTCAGAGACTGAAGGCCCGGCTCACAGAGCATTCTCTTGGCCTGCCTGCCCATACTTGGAGGTTCAGGGTACTTTGTTACCTTGATATGGTCCTCTACGGTTTAGGGTTTAGGGTTTAGGGTTTTAGGGTTTAGGGTTGGTAACCCCATGATATATTTCTGTACTCATAACCCGCTTGTAAGCCCATTAGGGTACTTAAGGGGCTGATATGTGGGCTATAGATACACTTGTACTGGGTTACTAAGTATGAACCTCCAAGTATGCCTGGCCAGGCTGGGTTTTTCGTGCAGAGGGGGGAAAGGCGGTGTCAGCGCACATGGTGTCAACTTTGTGCTGGGTTGTCGGCCAGTAGTCTTTTTTGTACTACCAACCACCCTAAACCCTAAACCCTAAACCCTAAACCCTAAACCCTAAACCCTAAACCCTAAACCCTAAACCCTACAAAATGAATTCAAGTTTCACACCTTGGAGGGCGGTTCTGTAGCCTTTCTTCTAAAGTGGACAGGGACGGAGAGAAATCGATCAAGACACCCCATCCCAATCCCCCAGTCGCCAAGAAAATCCTCAACCCCCCTAACCCTAAACCCTAGACCCTAGACCCTAGACCCTAGACCCTACACCCTAAACCCTAAACCCTAAACCCTAAACCCTAAACCCTAAACCCTAAACCCTAAACCCTACCCCCGAGTCACCAAGTCGAAGGAAATCCGGCAAATCTGCCTGATTGACATGGCCTACGCCCGCCCGGATGAGATAACCCTTCTGGTGCTGCAGACCTTTGCAGACTGGCAGGCCGGTTCTTAAGACAGAGTTTAGGGTTTAGGGTTTAGGGTTTAAGCCTGTTGCAAAAAGGGTTAGGCTTTAGGGTTTAGGGTTTTGCCTTCCTTGTGAACAAAGAAAGGTCAGTTGATAAATGTAACTTTGTGCACTGATGCTAAAACCTGCTAGCTCTTAGTAGGGAATGAGAGTGAGGTACCCTATATCATCCCTCAAAGTGTAACATATACGTAGTAAAAGGTACCTAATTCCCTCATTCCCTTCCAGCTAGAAATAGTGGCTTTAAGATTCGGGCTAGGGTTTAAGGTTTAGGGTTTAGGGCTTAGGGCTCAGGGTTTATGATGCAGATTCAGAGTTTCGGAATCAGGGCCCCCCTACAGATCTCACTCAGGCGCTGGGAACTTTGAGCCAGAAGCGCTACAACTATGAGTTGCAAGAGGATTAGGGGTTACGGGTAGGGTTGGTTTAGGGTTTAGGGTTTAGGGTTTAGGTTGTAGGGTTTAGGGTTTAGGTTTAGGGTTTAGGGTTTAGGGTATAGGGTTTAGGGTGAGCGCTAAGCCCCTTCACATGGCTCAGGCTTCAGTGGCCGACCTTTGGGACGAGCCACCCCCGCAAATTCTCGCCTTTGCGAGCTCCCAGGTGCAGTGCTCCGGGGCTGTGGGTTGAGGAGATTTCGGGTTTAGGGTTTAGGGTTTAGGGTTTAGGGCATAGGGTTTAGGGCATAGGGTTTAGGGTCTAGGGTCTAGGGTTGAGGGCTTCATAGGGTTTGAGGGATGTTTCGAGTTAGGCAGTTTGGGATATCAGATGTTCAAGGTATGTTTGGGTTCAGGGCTTTGTAAGGTTACGGCTTAGGGCAAGAGGGTTTGGGAGCGCCTGTTCGGGCATCTAGGGGGGATTCGGGGGCCTCGCAAAACCTACAAGCATCTGCACACACACAGGGCTGACATGGGGGAGGCGTCCTAAACCCTAAACCCTAAACCCCTTTAAGCCCCGTTAAGCCCCTGAGGGTTTGGGGTTCAAGGTTTCGGGTCTAGGGTTTTGGGGGGGCCTATTCTTCCTTACCTCGTACTTCAGAAGAAAGCATTCTAGCGCACATGTGAATGGAGGGGTTGGCATTCATGGGGGATATTGTTAGTCATTGCATAAACCCCTAAACCCGAAACCCTAAACCCTAGACCCCAAACCCGAAACCCTACTAGCCTTGCCTGCTACGGCCGAGATCTTGCCTGGAAAGAAACGGGTGGACACTACTGATGTCCTGGGTGGACAGGCAGTGGATAGACCCCTAAACCCTAAACCCTAAACCCTAAACCCTAAACCCTAAACCCTAAACCCTAAACCCTAAACCCTAAACCCTAAACCCTAAACCTAAACCCTAAACCCTAAACCCTGCAGAGTGTCCGAGAGGTCAGCTAAGCGGGTGGCAAAACCCTAAACCCTAAACCCTAAACCCTAAACCCTAAACCCTAAACCTCAACGGCTTTACAGATTTTTCCGAGCTGCAGGCCGAGGCTGCAGAATCATTTACCGAGGCAGCAATTTTGCTGATCGTGTGAGCTCCTCCTCCGCAATCACTACGACCCTCAGGGTGAGAGCATCAGCTTCTGCACCCGCTGAGCAGGGGTATGCCACCGGAGGGATACTACTAGATCCTTAAACCTACCGAAGCCCTTGACGCCCTCTCAATTCGAGTCCCGGGCGTGTGACAAGCCATCCCGACTGCCCCGGCTCATATGCGTTGCCATCCACGTATGCTTTTCAGCCCAATCTTAATGGCTTCATTACTTTGTCTTGGGTGATTGCCGGACGTGGGGTGGACACCAATCTCGCTTGTGCAGGTTGAACGTCTTTGGTGGGCTCGTGTTGATCTTACCCTGGTAACTAGGTTAGGGTGTTCCGTGCATTCGACGTCATCCCGCAACACAGTCATCTGCCAATCTACAAACCGTTATTATTATTATTACTATGATTATTCTTATTATTCTTATTGTTATTGAGGGTGGACCCTCTAAAGTTGTCCCCGAGGCCTGCGCGAGTGCCGGGCGGGTGGCAAAAAATCCCGAAACCCGAAACCCGAAACCAGAAACCCTAAACCCGAAACCCTAAACCCTAAACCCTAAACCCCCCCCCCCCCCACCCCCCCCAAATAGGAAAGGCCCGACTTTAGAGAGCCACAGCTGGCACAGGCGTACTTCGACCACTGCGGACCAGGCACGCGCCCCAAGGGTCCATGTACCTATATAATACTTAGGGTTTCAGGGTTTAGGGTTTAGGGTTTAGGGTTTAGGGTTTAGGGTTTAGGGTTTAGGGTTTAGGGTTTAGGGTACTATATCGTATATAGTATTTTGTGTAAGGTATTTAATATGTAGTGATCGTGTATAGCATATAGTATTCAGTCTAGAGAACAGAGTACAAGGTTTGCCATTTTGTTCGGTTTTTCCCTGGCCATTGTTTTTATTTTGAGCCTCTGCCCTTCAACACTGAAGCAGAACAGTTGTGAATTGCGCAACTTCGTGTGAAAGTCTGGGTTGGATTTAGGGTTTCTTCCCCCCCACCCCCTCGCGACCTCCCCCCCTGCTAAACCCTAAACCCTAAACCCTAAACCCTAAACCCTAAACCCTAAACCCTAAACCCTAAACCCTAAACGCAGCAAGGCGGAATTGCGGCAGGCTGCAACTTGTTCATGCACTGCGACGCCGCATGGCAGGGCTCCGATGAGGAATGCGCCTCCGCGAGTTTCATGCCCAAGGGCTCCAGGCACAGAAGTCGTACCTACTTTCGGGGTCCCTAAACCCTAAACCCTAAACCCTAAACCCTAAACCCTAAACCCTAAACCCTAACCCCCTAAACCCTAAACCCTAAAGCCTAAACCCTAAACGCTCTAAACCCAAACCCTAAACCCTAGCTTCCTAGTTTGGGCAACGTGCCTCAGGCACGACGCCTATTGGGTAAAGCGAAGGAGGTTGATACATTGAGGCGGGTTGGTTCAGGCTTAGGGCTTACGGCCCCAGGGTCCGCAGCCTAAGGTTTCTGGATGTGAGTGAACTCTAAATTCGTCAAGCTGCTTGCTTGACTAGTGAAAGCTAGAACATGAGATGCTTAACCCGGAACCCCAAACCCTAAACCCTAAACCCTAAAACCCTAAAACCCTAAACCCTAAACCCTAAACCCTAAACCCTAAACCCTAAACCCTAAACCCTAAAACCCTAAAACCCTAAAACCCTAAAACCCTAAAACCCTAAAACCCTAAAACCCTAAACCCAAAACCCCAAACCCAAAACCCCAAACCCATACCATAAGCCCTAAAACCATGAATCCCCAACGTGCCCTGGAAGTGAGGCATGCGATTGGCGCAGAAAGCCCTCGTCTCCTCCGGCCGCTCACCTGACACGATGGCACCCTGAGATTCCCCGAAGAACCCCTCCAGCGGTTTAGGGTTTAGGGTTCAGGGTTTAGAGGTTTAGGGCTTTAGGGTTTAGGGTTTAGGGGTTAGGGTTTAGGGTTTAGGTTTGAGAGCCCAGTCTTCAAAAACGGGTTCCCTCAACTCCCTTCTCGAGCGATCATGTTCCCTGAAACGAGCCTCGTTCAACAAGAAAGGCTTGTTTATTCGCGTAACTGCCGAACCCCAACCTCGACCTTCTACACCACAAGCCCTAAACCCTATACCCTATACACCCTAAACCCTAAACCCAGGATTCAACCCTAAACCCTAAACCCTAAACCCTAAACCCTAAACCCCCAACGTAGATGCCCTCAGGAAGGCCGCCAAAGCTCTTGAAAGTCAAACTTGCTATAAAGCTGTCCGGCTCTTAAAACGGAAATCAGGGAGTTAGGGGCCCTCTTATACCCCCCCCCCCAAAAAAAAAAAAAAAAAAACGCCCTTATACCCGCCCGAATTCCTCCCTTCTACTCCCTTTATACCCTATGGACTCTGGTAAGATAAGGTATAGTTTTGCAGTATTTTGGGTTTTCTCATCCTCCAATTCCCTATGAAGATCTAGCAAGTAAACCCTGCACTTCGAAGTCACTGATATCTCTGTCCGCAGAAAAACCCTAAACCCTAAACCCTAAAAGGCCACCTGGAATCTCTTTCCTAGCGCGTTCTTCAATTCGAGCTGCGAGCGCCCCAAAGGGCCCACATTTCGTTGTTTCTCAGCGCCGTAAACCCTAAACCCCCCCTAAACCCTAAACCCTAAACCCTAACCCCAAATCCTAAACCCCAAACCCCTAAACCCTAAAGCCTGAAGTTCGAGGTCTCCTCGCCCGCTTGAACAACCTGGGCAGCAAGACGGTGCCCGAAGAGATGCTGCAGCAACTCGGTTTAGGGTTTAGGGTTTAGGGTTTAGGGCTTAGGGTTTCGAAAGTAGTTTCCAAGTGTTTCCACGGGACAAGCAAGGCACACTGCCCAAAGCTCTTCGTTTCAAAAGCCGAACAGACAGAGCATCTCACCCCCTACTCCACCCCCCTCTCCTACTTGGAGATTCATGGGTAGTTTATAAGTAGGGTTGCAAGCAGGGTAACTATACTTCTAGCCCTGTCTAGGGTGCTGACAATCCTGCTTTTAACTACCCAAGAACTCCAAGTAGCACACCCAGTAGACCCAGTAGTGCCCTTGTTCCCCCTTAAACTAACAATCCCCAATAGGGAATATCATAGGAGATACTAGAATTCCCATTAAGTCCTTGTTCCTATAAGGGTGAACATCCCAAGTAGTAATACAGGGGTCGGAATAATTGCTATTAAGTATTCCCTTATGGTCCCTTTGCAAATATACGATAATCAACCCCCCCAAAACCCTGTTTTAATTATTAAGGCCCCTATAGTGTACCTTTGTTCCCCTTTTAACCTCGTCTCGTTCGAAGGAAGGGGCCGCAGATGCTCCGAAAATATTGGCAGGTCCAGCAGGAGATTTAGGGTTTTGGGGGGTTTAGGGTTTTGGGTTTAGCGTTTAGGGTTTAGGGTTTAGGGTGTGTGTGCAGAGTGTAGAGCTTATAGGGTTTGGGGTTTAGTGTTTAGGGTTCAGAGGCCAGCTCCCGATCTTCTGTTCCCTGAACCCTTCAGCCCTAAACCCTAAACCCTAAGTCCTTAAACCCTAAGTCCTTAAACCCTAAACCCTAAACCCTAACCCTAAACCCTAAACCCTAAACCCTAAACCCTAAACCCTAAACCTGTAGTGCGGTCCGGCGAAGCTAGTGGAGTGTCAGCATGCCTCTGACCCTAAGGCTCCAAGAAACTCTTAATTGAGGGTTTTTAGGCCGGCCCTAAAGGCCTTGTTGCATAAGGGTTTAGGGTTTAGGGTTAGGTTTTCGGGCTATTCTGAGTTTAAGGTTAAGTTTTGACACTTGACGGATTGACAAGTTTTGTCAATCGGCAACCCCAAAATCTTACAAGCGAGTAAATCACATCCCGGCAACGGCAGGGAGTCCGACAAAAACCACCCGTCCCCCCCCCCCCCCCCCCAAAAAAAAAAAAAAAAAAAAACAGACCCCTCACTCTGTCTCCCCCAAGGACCAACTCCCCAAAGCCCAAACCCTAAGCAACTGCAAACACCAAACCCCACTATAAACCCTATAAACCCCTCAAAACCCTGTAAGCCCCTTAAAACCACTTAAAACCCTATAACCCCTATAAACCTCTATAAACCCCTATAAACCCCTATAAACTCTATCACCCCTGCAAACCCCTATCAACCCTATAAACCCTTATCAACCCCAAACCCCCCCCCCCCCACACCCAAAGCCCTGAAATTTAAAACTCGCAGGAGCACAGTGAAGAGCATTAAAAAACCCCCTAAGACCCTATAAATCCTACAAACCATTTTAACCTAAACCCCAAATCCTAGACCCTAAACCCTAAGGTCACACTGCGCCTCCTGAGATGCTAGCCTACTCTTCGTGCCCTTGCGTAGCAAGACCCTAGGGGATGGCGCGGCAGAGAGAGAGAACCCTAAGCCCTAAACCTAAACCCTAAATCCTAAACCCTAAACCCTAAACCCTAAACCCCAAACCCTAAACCCTAAACCCTAAACCTTCCAGGAGCACAGTGAAGAGCCCTTCTCCGCCGGCGCCTGGCTCGCACATGGGGATGGCGACCTCGAGCCTCTCAAGGTGGACGCCTTAGCTAAGATTGGGGTTTAGGGTTTAGGGTTTAGGGTTTAGGGTTTAGGGTTTAGGGTTTAGGGTAAACTAGGACCTGGGGTAGGCCCTTATTGAGTTTTGTTTTTGAGTGTTTAGGGTTTCGGGTTCAGGGTCTGAAGGTGGAACACCTTAGCAAGGTACCTGCTACTGGGCTCAGGGTTTCGGGCTCAGGGTTCAGGGTTTAGGGTTTAGGGTTCAGGGTTCAGGGTTTCGGGCTCAGGGTTTGGGATTTTAGGATTTTAGGGTTTTAGGATTTAGGATGTAGGGTTTACTGGGGTCGAGGGTTAGGGGTCTTGGATGTGGAGCTTGAAGAAAGTAGCTCTGAATGTGCATATATATATAGAGAAAGAGATGGAGAGAGAAAACGAGAGAGAGAGAGAGAGAGACAGAAAGAGAGAGAGAGAGAGAGGGAGAGAGGGAGAGAGAGGCAGAGGGAGAGGTATCAAGCCCCCCAGACCTGCAACCTACAAGGGTTTAGGGTTTAGGGTTTAGGGTTTAGTTTTGAGGGTTTAGGGTTTAGGGTCGGTTCTGCAGGTCATGGTCCCTTTGCCTTTATATACGGGGCTGGGGCCGCATTGTAACCGGAGCCAGGATTCTGAAAGCCTTCTATCCCTAAACCCTAAACCCTAAACCCTAAATCCCCAAAACCTCCCATTTTTCAGGGCTACCTTCTTTCTGTTAGTTCGCAAGGAATGAGGGAATTAGGGCCCTAGATGTACTCGTTAACTTGGTAGCCCAGTGGTACCCTTTTCGTTTTTTTTTTGGGGGGGGGTTCAAGGTTCCCTTATCAAGTAACCAACCCCAAGAAGGGTGCCCTTATTATAACATGGTTCCTGGCCTACAAAGTTAAGGGGTGATATAGGGTGCCCTCATTCCCCCAGGCCCTACTCAGCTACAGTAAGCCTTGGGCCGCCCTGCGCAGGACTACTGGCTTGGGCTCGATCCAGAGGAGAAGGTGCGGGCGCGCATGTTTTGGCGACGTTCACGTTTAGGGTTTAGGGTTTAGGGTTTAGGGTTTAGGGTTTAGGGTTTAGGGTTTAGGGTTTAGGGTTTAGGGTTTAGGGTTTAGGGTTTAGGGTTTAGGGTTTAGGGTTTAGGGTTTAGGGTTTAGGGTTTAAGGTTTATGGTTTAGGGTTTAGGGTTTAGGGTTTAGGGTTTAGGGTTTAGGGTTTAGGGTTTAGGGTTTAGGGTTTAGGGTTTAGGGTTTAGGGTTTAGGGTTTAGGGTTTAGGGCTACCAAAGCGTTTTCATGCATCCAGATTAGGATGACTTACTTTAAGTTCCTGTACAGTCACCCGGTTAGAGTAGATCTGCCTCACACAGGGCCTCAGAGGTACCTCACACCAGGAGCCACAGACATGTGGGTTTAGGGTTTAGGGTTTAGGGTTTAGGGTTTAGGGTTTAGGGTTTAGGGTTGCTTCATCCCACCTCCTCTCCGTTTGGGTTCAGTGAGCTGCTTTCACACCATGCATAGACAACTTTGCACATTCCTTTCGGGTCCTCTTGGGCTGAATGGATGGGGGCTACAACCCAGAATGCGTAGAAGCCTTCCTCACCCTAGCCCTAAACCCTCTTGGAAGACCCTAAAGCCCTAAACCCTAAACCCTAAGTAATGCCCTGAAGACACGAATGTAGTTCAAACAGCATGGTACCCGAAAAAGGGTACTACATTGGAGAGTTTAGGTAAACGTAGCGCCCCCAAGCTCGCCGAAGCCCTATATGTAGGGTTTAGGGTTTAGGGTTTTTGGTCCTGAAAATAGTACATCACCTTATCAGAAAGGACCCCTAAAGGGGACCCTAACTTCGAGAACTACCGTAAACCCTAAGCCCTAACTAAACCGTGCTAAACCCTACTAAACCCTAAACGCTAAACCCTAAACCCTAAACCCTAAACCCTAAACCCTAAACCTATAGCAGCTCCTGAGAGGCCCTGCAGCATCTGGAAACGGACCACCGCTTCAAGCAGGCGGAGCGCGCGCGGGCGGAGGAAGTTGGCTTAGCTGCTTGGCTGTTGACGGCAAACCCTTTAGTGTGGGGTTTAGGGTTTAGGGTTTAGGGTTTAGGGTTTAGGGTTTAGGGTTTAGGGTTTAGGGTTTAGGGCTAGGGTTTAGGGTATGCTCGGGCAGAGAGCATGGGCTCAGAAGGGTTTAAGGTTTAGGGTTTAGCCTAGGATGCCCAGTATAAACAACACCCGTACTATTCCCTGTCTTCTGTGGAATTTTTTCTTGAGACCGAACTGAGATTTGGCAAAATATCTCCGAGAGAACAGAGAACCCTAAAACCTAGCCCTAAACCCTAAACCCTAAACCCTCAACCCTAAACCCTCAACCCTAAACCCTAAACCCTGCCGGCCTCGTGCGAACGTGAGAGCTGGAACCCTGAACCCTATAGAGGCCTAACTTTGAAGTGCTTCGGGCTTAGGGGTCGAAAGCGCTCAGGGACTACGCTTTTGGCTTCCAGGGTTTGGAAGATGTAAAAGCTGAGCGGGCGCAGGAGGGCTTCTAGCATTTTTCTGAAGGTTTGTTTTTTCAGCTTTTTGTAAGTTGCCACAAAGTCGCAGCCCTAAACCCTAAACCCTAAACCCTAAACCCCAAACCCTACACCCGACACCCTACACCCTACACCCTACACCCCGCGCTTGCAAGCTAGATGCTTACAGTGCTTCAGGCTCACACGCTGCAGTTGCCACCCCCAGCTTCCGCCCTCGGACCTTGAAGGGTTTAGGGTTTAGGGTTGAGGGTTTAGGGTTTAGGGTAAACCTCACGTGAGTACCGGGCGGGTGGCAAGAAGAACCAAGGTTCATGGGCACGCATGCTCCGACTTTAGCTGTAGTTCCAACTCAAGTACATGCCCCCTGACAACCCTGAAATCCTACACCCTCCCCGCCTTCCTCCTTCTACCCTAAACCCTGAACTTCCTGGGGTGGCAACACCCCCTGATTCTTGGTAAGGAATAAGGGAATTAGGCACCTTATACCCCACCTGGTATATAGGCCCTTTTCTGGATTGTATAGCGTGTACCTCATTCCCGCATTCCCCCTCTAAGTACCAGGAGGCTGAACCCTCAACCCTAAAATCATTCCCTGCAGTGTGTCTCTCTCTGAGTCAGCTGGGTGGGTGGCAAAAAAACCTTCCCTACTAAGAGCCAGTAAAGAAAGTCAGGAAGTTTGGCGTGTGCGGTCTTTGGATCCGGTGAAGTCACGCGAAGCACCAGCGGCCGACAGTCGAGCCGCCCGACCTCTGTACAGTTCTCTTAGGTATCGCGTCTTCAATAGGGTTTCGGGTTTAGGGTTCAGGATTCAGGGTTTAGGGTTTAGGGTTTCTCAAGGTGGGTCTGGCGGGTTAGGAGTTGGGTTCAGGAATTATGGGGTTATGCCTGGCTGATGCGGCTCAGGGTCTTCTACTTGCCGTTGCAAACAGGGGGCGTGGGAGGTTAGTTCGGTCTCCACCGACCAGCCCATCAGGGTAAAGTATCAGGCTTTTGGATTTGAAGCTCCGCCTTTTGGGGTCCGCCAACCCCTTCTGCAGCAGACTCCAAACAGCTGGGACATCCTTATTCCCATTCTTCGAAAAAAGTCTACTTAAGGGAATCCCAGCTCTGATCCTCCTCAAATCATGTCAATGTTCCAACTTTCTGGAGTTGACTGTAACCTACGCAAGTTGCCCTCCGGATCCCCTTTTCGTAGTTACAATCCTTGGCCTGTCAATTTCAGTTTGTGACTCGCAAAGGCCGTTTTGGAAACTATAGTGCTTTAATAAACGTGATGACCTACTTGAGGTGAAGACGATGCGCAAGGCGTGATGTCTAACGATGTCTGAATGAAGCACCAAATGCTAGGACCCAGCGTAGACCCTTATTCCCTTTGTTAAGGTTTATTAAATGTAAACCGGATTTGTTGGCTGATAAATAGTCTAAGCGCCATATTGAATGTACTGGGCGTACTCAGATACCCTAAGATACATGACTAATGAGGGTCTGACCCTTAAGCACTGGGCAAGCTTTCTCGGATAGCCTTCTGCTATAGGGTTTAGGGTTTAGGGTTTAGGGGTTTAGGGTTTAGGGGTTTCGGGGTTTTCGGGTTTAGGGGTTTTAGGCTTGACGTTTCGAATGCCTGAGAGAGAGAGAGGGGTTTTAGGCTTCAAAGGCACAGCGTCAGGCGCTTTCACCAGTGGCGTGGTGAAACAAAAGTCGCTGAACCCGAAGCCTTGAGATGTTCCCCTTGTAGAAACAGGCCTTTATTGGATTATAATAGGGGGTACTGGAATCCCTATTAAGGACTGCTAGTCTACGCGCTTGCATCCCAAACTCAGCCCTTAACTCAAGCAAAAGTCAGCTCAGGAGTTTGGCGAGTTCTCACCCGGGGAAGTCCTCATCGCCGCGGAGAGGCCCAGAGGGAGGTTGAGGGGTTTAGGGTTTTTTTGGTTTGGTGTTCGAGGGTTTAGGGTTTAGGGTTGGAGTCTGGGTTCAGAAGAAAGGTTTAGGGTTGGAATGTTCCCCCTTATACTAACAGTCCTGAGTAGGGATTCGAGTACCCCTTAAGGGGGAGCATGCCAAGGTTGAGGGGTTTAGAAAGAAAACAAGAAAAGCTTGGCCGAAAGTCGAGGGGCTTGGGGTGTGGAGGGACTCTGAGAGTCCTTGTTTAGGGTTTAGGGTTTAGGGTTTAGGGTTTAGGGTTTAGGGTTTAGGGTTTAGGGGTAGTTTCTACCATTGTTCATGCTTTGGCGGATTAAGATGTACGAAAGCAAGGCCTCCACAAGCCCTACATGAGAACGCCGAGCATGCCACCAGGGCCTGGAACGAGAGCACCCCTAAGCCCTGAAGCCCGAATATCTGCAAACCCTAAACCCTAAACCCTAAACCCTAAACCCTAAACCCTAAACCCTAAACCCTAAACCCTAAACCCTATCATGCCTTCAGCTTTAAGCCCCAAATAAAACCGCACAAGACCTTAAACCCTGAACCCTAAACCCTAAACCCTAATCCCTAAACCCTAATCCCTAA